TCTTACTACTGTGCTTGCACGCAGTTGGAAATACAAGGATGGCAAGCACTGAGAGCAGCAGTGAGAGGAGATACTATTCATTGTAATCTTCCCTCCACCTGTCACAGGTCAAAGCTGGCCACTAAGTCCCCTTTTTCAGATCTATACAAACTAATGCCCAATGGAAAAGTTACACTGCAATTCATGTTTTAAAACCTTTCCCCAGCCATGTTTTACCCCCTCAACCCCAAACAATTGTATTAGGCCTGGCCATGCTGTCCAAAGCTGAAAGAAAACTCTTCTGCTTTAAGGCTAAGATAAATGGTGGAAACACTTGAAATGAAATTTCTACATGGTGGTGTCAGCTAACACCATTGGTGCATTCAGGTTACATTCTTGCAATTGTAAGTAGCTGAACTCACAAAAACAAGTCAGCTGTGATTAAAGTCTAGGGACTGAGTAGCATAAATGCTCCTCCTTTCCATTGTTTTCTAATAGATGTATTGTAAGCTACCCTTAAAATCAGGGCCAGCTGTTGATCTCCATTCAGGGAGACCTCAGCTTAGTGTCAGGGTCAGAGAAGCAATTCTAGCAGTTTGCTGCTTCAGGGGTTGCTGCAGCCCTGTATTCTTCCCCCCAATGGTGGTAGAGCTGGCTGCACCTAGAGGCAGTTTGAATTGAAACCTTCCACTTGCTGCCTTTTTTCTTTTTCCTTCCCTGCTCTAGGACTGGGACCAGGGAGTAGCTGCAGTACCTCTGCCTCTCTCCTAGTGGGGAAGACACCTTCTTCACAGTATGGCAGCCTAGCCAAGTGTACAATTGCCTTCAGCATCTCTAAGCTATACTGTTGTAGGAGAAGCACTTCTTTGCCTGTAAGAGCTTTGTGTTGTGTGAATCCTAGGGCTGGAAGAGACCTCAGGAGTCATCGAGGCCAACCCCCTGCCCAAAGCAGGACCAATCCCAAAACAATCATCCCAGGCAGGACTTAAAAACCTATAGGAATGGAGAATCCACTACCTTCCTTAGTACCCATTCCAGTGTTTCACTACTCTGCTAGGGAAATAGTTTATCCATCACTACTGAGAACAGCCTCTCATCCCTTCAGGAAGTTGAAGGCTGCTATCAAATTCCTCCCTCCTCTCCTCCCCCCCTCCCCCCCCACTCTTCTGCAGATTAAATAAGACTAAATCCCTCAGCCTCTCCTTGTAGGTCATGTGCTCCAGCCCCCAAATAATTTTGGCTGCCCTTTGCTGGACCCTCTTTGATGCATCCACATCCTTTCTGTAATGGGGGGCCTAGAATTAGGGGAAGTATTCCAGATGTGGCCTCACCAGTGCTGAGTAAAGGGGGAATAATCACTTCTCTGGATCTGCTGGCAATGCTCCTCCTAATGCAGCCTAATAAGCTATTAGCCCTCTTGACTACAAGGGCACCCTGTAAGCCCCAGGTCCTTTTCTGCTGAACTACTACCTAGCCAGCCTGTAACAATGCTTAGGATTCTTCTGACCCAAGGGCAAGATGCTGCACTTGTCCTAGTTGAACTGCATTAGAGTTCTTTTGGCTCAATCTGCCTAGGGAGAAAGGGTCCAGCGTGCCCTACCTTCCAACTTATCTACCGCTCCCCCTATTGTCAACCACAAACTGGCTGAGGGTGCAATCCATCCCCTCATCCAGGTTATTAAGAGGTTGAACAAAACTGGCCCTAGAACAGATCCTTGGGGCACTCCACGTGAAACCGTCCACCAACCTGACGTTGAGCCATTGATCACTACACATTGGGCTCAGCCACCTAACCAGCTTTCTATCCATCTTACTGGCCATTTAGCCAATCCATACTGCCTTAACTTGATGGCAAGAATATTGTGGGAGACCATATCAAAAGCCTTGCTAAAGTCACATCCACTGACTGCCCCATGTCCACAGAGCCAGTTACCTCATCGTAGAAGACAATCAGATTGGTCAGGCAAGACTTGCCCTTGGTGAATCCATATTGACTATTTCTGATCACAGTCCTGGCATCCAAATGTACGTGAGGTTAACTGATCTGTAGTTCCCTGGATTGGCCTCCTTCCTTTTTTGACGATGGGCACTGCATTTGCCTTTTTCCAATCATCTGGGACCTCACCGTGAGTTTAAAAAATAATGGCCAAAGGCTCTGCAAAATGGGCAATGACATTTGCCAACTCCCTCAGGACCCTCGGCTGCATTAAATGCGGACCCTTGGATTTGTGCATGTCTAGCTTTTCTAAATAGTTAAATGCCTTGAATCCTGCTGTGGTGGCTGCATTTTACCTTTAACTGGTAGAGGCTGGGAATGGGCTACAGGAGCAGGATCGTTTGAAGAGTCCCTGTTCTGTTCACACCCTCGGGGCATCTAGCATTGGCCACTGGGCTAGATAGACCTTTGGTCTGAGCCAGTCTGGCCGTTCCTACATCCTCATGACAGCACAGAACAGGAGAATTTTTGCTTCATTATAGGGCCTGGAACCCTTCAGGGGTGCTGAGTACAGGAAAGTGAGTATGAAGCCTGGGTCCTTTCCAGGGCCTCAGTAGAGAAGAGAGGCTGGACTCCTCCCTGTGCTAGCACCGAAAAACCAATGCAGCTAATTGGGGGCTGGCTGGGGCTCCAACAATACTCCAGGCAGCTCCCTGGGAAGGCTTCCTGCTCCTCTCACCCATTGTCTGAAACTGAGCAGTCCCTGGCAGCCAAACTACTTTGGCCTATGAAAAACAGAGTAGCCTAGACTCAGTGAAGAGAGGAGGCCCAAAAGAATTCAGGGCCAAGTCCCACCACTGCCCCTCCAGCCAGCGGGGAACACTAAATACGTTAAGACTAGCCTGGCCCCAAACTGAAAGTTGGCAAGTTTAGCCTGATGCACTAAGGCTATGTCTACACTCATGGTTTCTTGCACAAGAATCCACAGAGCATCCACACTGCCCGCCTGCTCTTGCACCAGGAAATTTACAGTACAGCATGGTAAGAGAGGGCTTCTTGCACAAGAGCTACGCTCTTTTTTAACAGGTGTAAATGCTCTTGCACAGGAGCTCTTGCATAAGAGGGCGGTGTGGACACTCAGCAGGGATTTCTTGCACAAGAAAGCCCTGTGGCTAAAATGGCCATCAGAGCTTTCTTGTGCAAGAGAGCATCCACACTGCCACGGATGCTCTTGCACAAAAGCAAAGCTCACACATGGCAATGTGGACATTTTCTTGCACAAGATGTTCTTGTGCAATAAGCCACCAGTGTAGACATAGCCTAGGAGACTTGTTTGCTACAGTCCCTACATCGATTAGGGTTACATGCCTGATCTTTTTCCATACAAGTAAAAGACAGTACATGGCAAAATATTGGTTTGGGTACAGGAAATTTGTGCAGCTAGGGGAAAGGTCTCATAAAAGGAACAAACTAGCAGTGGCTATAATTACAAGTGGCATCTTTCATCTGTGTGAACAGACACATTTGTCATTTTACCATTCTACGTACAATGTTTATCTGGGCTGAGAACATTAGTGTGAGACAGCATTTAGCTGTGAACTTCATTTTTAAAAGCAAAGTTTTAGAGTTGTGCCTTTCACAGAGAATTCTTAGTGCGTGTGGGGCTTGGAAAGGGTTTTGTGCCTAGCGTACAAACAGCCCCTTAGCTTATTTCTCTGTGCCAAGTGCAGATCCCATAGCAGCTAGTGAAATAGTCCAATGCCATAAAAGTGTTAATGCAGCAGTTGAGGTAGAGTAACATTTTCTAACACAGCTTTGGCAGGGAGTAGCAATTCTAACCACAGTTGACAACATACCTCAAGAACAAACAGGATACCTGTCCTGGTGACTGGATATTAAATGACTTTTGGTTTTTTTTTTAAACTTTAAACAACAGTGGAATAGTTTCCGACACCAAAATAACTAGCATTAATGTAAATAGTGTTATATTGTTCGATTACTCCTGCAGGCTCCCGTGAGGCAGTCTTGAACTATTACTGTTGTGCAGCATGCTGGTGGTCTGTAATCCTGGAAGTGTAGCACTCTTTTGCAGTTTCACCTTACCTGTGTTACGGGAACACCAGCCATGTAACTGTGACACTTGTACCACTAGACAGCCGGTAGGTGCCTTTGCCAAAGCTGTGACTACTGAAGACCTAGGATAGCCACCTACATTTGAGGTAGCTGGTAGTCAAATAGAAAACCCAAGTTCATGGTGTGTTACCCAAAATGCTGCCACTTTGCCTCCTCACTTTGGCACTCCAAACATTTACCACAGCCATTGCTGTTGTGTGGTTTAGGAATTGGAAATGTAGCATGTGGAAATTCTTGTCTAAATAACTTGCTGTAGCTCATTGTCTAGTTAACTGTGGTAGGATTTTATTTTTAACTTCTACGTAAGTATGGTAAATAAAAAATGAAATTAAATGCTGGTTCCTTCCTTTTTCCTAAGATTTGCCAGTTTACCCTCTGGTTGCACTTAGCCACTGCGGTTCTAACCTCTGACAAGGGGACTTGGTCTAGAATACCCACACTACGAATCAGCCCTCGTGCAATGTGCACAGGTTTCAGCTTAAGCCTGTGTGAGGAATCACCACTTGATTAAAGCTCACACACCAGCTGAATAAAAAGTTTGTCATGCTCCTCCAGGCTTAGAGTCATTTGCTGAAAAGAGTCTTGTCAAAACACATCAGTTGCAGTGTGCCACTCCATCCGCATTCCATTTTACGTACGCAGCGTAGTGCCGGAGGATTATTGACTGTTGTATTGGCTATATTTTACACATGGTACTACTATTTTAAAGCAGTGTTCTTGAGATGGATGCAGTAAACTCCCCCTCCTGTGGCTATGGAAGAATCAGGGCCTTGCGCCGGGTCAAACACAACACGCAAACTAACTTTCAAACTGTCAGCTTGGAGTCACATTTTTGCTGTGCCGGTGAAGGTTCTTTCAGCTGCATTGACAAGGACATTCACTAGTCATCAGAGTGCATGTATTTATTTGCTAGGGCAAGTTCAGTCCATTTCTCAGACTCAGCTGCATTGACAAAGACATTCAGTAGTCATCAGAGTGCATGTATTTATTTCCTAGGGCAAGTTCAGTCCATTTCTCAGAGCTCGTCAACTGAGATATCTTAGCTGATGAGTTTGTTAACCATGAGCTCGCTCTGCTTACTCCTGGCGGGACATGGGGGCAAGCGCCACTTGGCACTAGCATGCAGCAAGAACAGGGTGGTGTGTGTTCTGCCTTTGGTTTGGCTCACTGGGTGAATTACTCAAGAATTTTGTGGGTGTCTGAAAAATCTTCCCCACCAAAAGAGTCCTGAAACAGACAGAAGCAATTAGGAGCTAGCGGAGGCCCACACCAACTTGACAAATGCATCCTTTGCCCTGACACTGAAGTGAGCATCTTTACTATAGTCTTCCCGACATGAAATTGTTGTAAAAGTAGCAGCGGCCACATGTTCTGACAGGAGGCGAGGAGTAAGGAAGGGCATCGCCCTATCCCTATAGTTATCTCCTCTCTAAGCCTGTGTCTGCAGGGGAGAGAAGTTTCTCCTTAGCAGTAAAAGGGCAGATATTGAGCCCTTGCTTGCTAACCCCAGCTGTGGTTTCTACCATTAATGTATTTTTTACTGGTGCTACGAAAAGCACCCTGTGCCTGTAAACACAATTAGAACAGCCAATGTGTGTTTCATGCATGGACTAAGGCAAGAAGAGATCCCCTTATCCTAGGTCAGGTCCACTCAAAAGATCGGTTGACCCAGCTCTGTCATTTTGGGGGCTGGATTGTTCTGACCCCTGAGCATCATCGTTAAACCATCTAGCCCCCAGTGTAGACGGCTGTAGCCTGGCAGAACAGTTCTTTCATTGACCTAGCTACTGCCTCTTCCGACACCGGACTAACTAGTGACTCGGGAACCCTTCCAGCGAGTGGCTGTTCTGAAACACGCGAGGTCTCTATGGCCACGTCTATCTGGCTCAAGCATCTCAGCGATAGGTGCAGATTTAAGGTTCTCATAGAATCCCGTTCATCCTGAGTAAGCACGAGCCCGCCATTTGGTTAGGTCTTAAACAAGTGTTTCATGGGCTCAGCTCAACATGCTGCAAGATCGTTTCCTTACCTCAAATGGCCCACACATCAGGCTCTGGGCCCCAAAGACAGGGTTTGGGAACGACACTAAGGACGGGTTCTTGGCCTGCTCTTCCTCTTCCAGGTCAGCCTGTGTGCAACAGGATTAGTTATCCGTCTCCTTCCCACCTTCTAGAGGTGAGTTCACTATAACTGTAGTTCCTTGCATGGGGGGGATACAATAGAGGTCTATAAAATCATGACTGGTATGGAAAAAGTGAATAAGGAAAAGTTATTTACTTATTCCCACAATAAAAGAACTAGCGGTCACCAAATGAAATAAATAGGCAGCAGGTTTAAAACAAACAAAAGGAAGGTTTTCTTCACTCAGCGCACAGTCAACCTGTGGAACTCCTTGCTGGATGAAGGCTAGAACTTTAACAGGATTCAGAAAAGAGCTAGATAGATTCATGGAGGTTAGGTCCATCGATGGCTATTAGCCAGGATGGGTAGGAATGGTGTCTCTAGCTTCTGTTTCTCCAGAGGTGGGTGACGGGAGGGATCATGTGAGGATTACCTGTTGTGATCCCTCCCTCTAGGGCATCTAGCATTGGCCACTGTCGGCAGACAGGATACTGAGCTGGATGGACCGTTGGTCTGACCCAGTCTGGCCGTTCTTATGACAAGGCGGTGCATAGGAAACAGAGTTACACAATCAAGTTGGAGCGCTCTCAAACATTAAATCTTTACCTTTCTGGGCCAGTGTCTCAGAAATTATAGTTATGCGAGAGATCAGTTAACAGCAATTTTATCCAAAGTTCTCATTTACCTCCCACTCTGGGTTCTGTATTTCTGGCTTCTGTCTCCCCGCAGCCATTACTATGCGCCACAATGCAGGTTTCAGGTGCTTTTGAGGCTTTTTAACATGTTCTGTTGCCTAGGCCAGACTCCTTGGTAGCCTCAATCTAGTTTAAGTTGTAATGTACACACCTTACATTACAATCATCCAGGTCTTTCTACGATGGCTAACTCATATGCCTTGTCCACGTAGGGATGGCACTCGGACCAGGCTAGGCAGCCTAACCCCAGCGTACACTCAGCAAAGGTGACAGAAGGGTGCTTTGGTGGAGTGTGTCTACACTCAGCGTTAGTCACTGCCAGTTATGGGGGCAGCAGTGAGCTCTGGAGAGGCGAGACTGCTGTAGTGGCCCAAATTCTCTGAGATGCAGGCCACGCGCATAGGGCTGTAGCAACACGCCTTGGTGAGCAATCACAGTATAAACGTGGAAGATTGGCTACATCCAACAGTCCTTTACTGGAGCTTTGATTGTCCTCTCTCCCTGCTTCCCTTCAAGAACTTCGGTGCTGTTTCATGTCAGCTCTTAGAGCTTGTGCACATAGCCTCGTAATGCCCAACTGGCCGGCGAGACCCTCTTGGCACCCACTAAGAAATGTTTCGAGTGTGCCAGCCTGGTCCATATGGGCCAGGTAGTGCACCATACAGCAGCGTGCATGAGATTTTACCCCTTCTCGCCCTGCTCCATGTAGACAAGCCCTGAAAGACGAGCATTCTTAGCACTTTCCCATCCAAGTTCTTATTCCTGAGCAGTAGCCTTGCTGCAGGCGTAACATAGGGAACTATTCCTCCAAAAACTTTCTGAATGTTTATAGGGAAACTATTCATCCATTTCCAAAGGCCAAAAGTAAACAGGACTGGGATGGTAAGGGTTTAGCTGCAGAGCACTGTTCAATTCACCAGAAAACAACCCCCCCCACACAAGGGTTCAGTCACAGAGACCCCCTTGAGGCTGTCCCTTGATGAGCTGAAATACCATTGAGCCTGCCTACCTGGGCACCCCCTTTACTCGACGCCCTAAACATATGCCCACATGGGGGTGCTGAGCACCTCCTCTGGGCTGGTTTATAGGGAAAACAAAGTCCTTCACAAACGAGTAGTCCTGTGCACCTGAGAGACTATCTAGTATCATGAGCTTGTGTGGGCAAAGCCCACTTCCTCAGATGTGATGAAATGGGTTTTGCCCATGATCCTATATCTATATATTTTGTTAGTCTAACTTCAAACACAGCGAGTAGTCCTGTGGCACCTTGGAGACTAACACGACTACCCCTCTGAGACTTTTTAAAGTCCTTTATCGATCACGGTCCTTATCGATGAGCCATCACGTTTCTGAAATACCCTTAATGGCCTTCTCCTAGCATGTCTAGATTTGTAAAACAGGTGTATGCTTCGTATTTCCAACTTCATATACAGACTAGTGGGAAAATCACCCTCAGCTTTTCAAATGGAGTATTTGGCACAAAGCATTTTTCAGTTATGCATATTCATAAGCATATTTCCACATAGAAATATGGATCCCGGTGACAACCCCGCCACGTTCATAGTGTAGCAGCTTGAGGGCCCATGCAAATGCCCATTGGTCTAGGGCTAACAGAAATGGTTTGTGGCTGGTGTAGCAAGGGGGTTGTGTGTTTTGGTACTTTTCCCCCTACCTGAAAGTAGTGGAACTGGAACTCTGGGTTTTTTCTTTTGAGGTAGTAATAGGTCACTCCAGCAACAGCGAATAGCAGCAGCAGAACGACAACAGCTGATGTTACCCCGACGGTCACAGGATGAGATGCCTTCATAGCACCAGTAACCTGGAAGAGAGACATCACGTTGGTTTAGTTTTGTGTTAAAATACATAATGAAGAACTGTCTCAACGAAAGGCAGTGTGTTAAAAAGTTGTAACCAAACCCCTAGGCTACGTCTACACTGCAGGCTTCTTCCGCAAGAACTGTTTTGCACAAAAGTTCTTGTGCTAAAGGTCTTCCACAAGAGTGTGTCCACACTGGCATGTGCTTTTGCGCAAGAGCATCCGTGGCAGTGTGTTCGCTCTCTTGCGCAAGAAAGCTCTGATGGCCATTTTAGCCATAGGGGCTTCTTGCACAAGAAACCCCTGTTGCCTGTCTACACTGCCTTCTTGTGGAAGAGCTCTTGCGCAAGAGGGTTTATTCCTCATGGGGAGAGGAATAACTCTTCCGGAAGAAGCCTTGTTTTCCGACGCTGAACTGTAAATTTACTTGCGCAAGAACACGCATGCTGTGTAGACGCTCTGCAAGTTTTTGCACAAGAACAGCTGTTCTTCCGCAAAAAGCCTGCAGTGTAGACATAGCCCTAGTGTATGGATGCCAAGTCGTTCAAGAGCAGAACATCTGTGAAAAAGGGTTAAGCAACATTAAACATATTTTAAGCAGCATATTGTATTTGCTCTGTGTGCGGCACTCATTCCAGATTCGATCTCCTCTTCCACTCGGCTCAGGTTGGAAGTGACGTAGCAGAATACACCACCGAGTCCGCTCTCCAACTATTGCTCAGAAGGTTCAAAAGAAGCTATGAAACATACGCTGATACAGCTCATCCTTACTATGCGAAAAAACACACAAGTACCCTGTGATGCCACAACTGTGAACTGGCCATTAGCTGGTCCTCCTATCCCTAAAAACAAGTCTAGCAGAGGGTGGGCAGAAAGGATACCTGTTCCAGCAACGATCAAGGAGAAGAGGAGGGATCAAGTATGAGCAGAGGACAGTGGCTGGACCTTCACCATTAACACTCAGAGAGGTGTAGTCTTGTGCAGGGAGGAGAGAGTAGCTGGTAACACACAGTCCCAGGTCAGACAACCTCTCTGATGGCCATTATACATAGCAACTCAATGGGACGCATTCTTCAATCTGCCAGTTCAACTCAATAGAGCAACGACTTGCCTGATCCAGATGCGCAGGCAGCAGAGGTATCCTCAAGGGCCCTTCGATGGCATGAATGAGTCCATTGAAGGCCAGAATGTCCCACTGGACTATCAGGGTATCATTGACCACTTTGGAGCCCTGGGGCTGGAAGAAGAAAGAGGATTACGGGGCTCGGTGTGAATTGCTTTGACACTGTTGGCTGAGTACTGAACGGGCCAAAGAGACCTGAGCACTTACAGGGGGCTGCGTGCTATTCAGCAGAGCGTCCCCAATGAGAAGGCTGTAGCCAGAGCAGGAACGTATGACGGTACCGCTGGTGAGATTGACGTTCCAGAGGAGAACATCACCCAGGGAGACGTGAAGCTTCAGCTCCTCCCAGGTGAGCGTCTGGGAAAACAAAATGTAGACGTGAGGGTGAGGTGGAGTCGAAAGCAGAGGGCAAGTCATCCAGGCGCTTTCTGCTCTTCCAGCAGTAGAGTCCCAAGCTGCCCAGCGAGTCTAGGAGACCGATTTCTGGGAGACGGTGCCGGAGTCCTTCTTGCATTCCCAGCAGAAGAGGCCGGAACAGCCGCACTTCTGACACAAAACCCCGCTCAGCCACGCATGCAGCCAAAAAGCACATTGCCCTCCTAGCAAGCCACAGCACCATCCCTGCAGTGGCCGGGGCAGCGTTCTTGCCAGCTGCTCACCGTATTGCCCGTGAAGCCAGAATTCAAGGGCACAAAGAGAGTTTTGTACATGGTGTCGTTGGTGAGGAAATTGAGGAACTCGAGTCCTTCTTGCGTGGCATTGGCGTAATCCAGCAACATCTGGGAGAGAGAGAGAGAGAGAGACCGACTTGAGCACCAGCCGGAAGCTGTGGGCTTGCCAGACCATCCTAGCCAGCCGACCCCAGGGGACATCATGTGAATTCTGCCCCCTTTGCTAGAACAGCAGTGATGTTAGCTGGCAATGGAGGAAGCAGCCTGATTTTCACACTGTGCATGGCGCTTCACATTCCAATGAGTCTCCTTCCCAAGCCTTTGGGATCTGGGATTCCCGATTAATCACTTTGCAGAAGCACGTGCCCCTTCCCGCCTCCCATCCTGGGGGATCCCAGCACTTACGGAGTAGAAGGTGGAGAAGTTGGCGTGCTCAGCCAGCACAGCCAGGAGGTTTCCGCTGCAGAAGTAGCCATCCCCAATGAACCCGTCTCTACATTCACACCTCACATCTGCAGAGGAGAGAGAGGGGAGAGAGGCAGAGGGCCAGGCGGGGGCTCTTCAGACAGCAGATACACTGAACAGTTGCTTAGGATCTCTGTCCACGCAGAAGGCAGCTGCGGTCCAGGACAGCAATTCCGCATTTAACGTGTGCCCGCTTAACACGTTTTCGCAATAGCACGATTTTTTGGGGAACATTTTTTGAATTACATGACCCTCACTGGAATAACACGATTTCCCCAGCTGGCCTGTTGCTGGCAGCTGCGCAGGGCTTCCCCTGATTCCCTGCAAAGCGGCAGAAGGTTCGCTGCTCGCCGCACCGTTCCCCACTGACTCCCCCTCACCGGACGCCTTGCCCCCTCTCCTCTGCCCCCGCTTGCAGGCCGGTGGCTGGGTTTCCCCAGCCAGCCCATCATCGGCGGCTGTGCGGGGCTTCTCCCACCTCCCTGCAAAGCAGCGGAGGGTTTGCCGCTCGCTGCGCCGTTCCCCCGTGACTCCCCCTCACCGGACGCAGTGCAGGTCCCGGCAGACCCATCACAGGGGCATACTCCCAACCCAATCCCCCTCCTCTCTCCTCCTCTCCCGTCACCTCCCCTCCAAGTCCTCTTTCTCCCCCAACCTTATGTCCCGGTCCCAACAGACACCACCGCTTGAAATGCAACCCCCACCTTTTCCTTTATTTTCCAGGGGAAAATTGACCCCGCATAACCCATTTTCACTTAACACGATCATTTTCTGAAACATATCTATAGTGTTAAATGAGGAATTACTGTAGCTAGAGCACTGTCAGGTAACCTTGGTCACCTCACTTAACCTCCCCGGGCTAGTTCTCAAAACACTTGCCCAGCATCATGCGGCAGTTTGAGATCTCTGGGACTTATTTAATGTTATTAAATAAGAGCGTTTGGGGCATAAAGCAATGTAATGGAAGCTGGCAAGCGTAGAGTTAGAGAGCTACAGTGTGTTGCAGATGTGTGGTGTAGGCTTTCCTCCTGAAACTGTGAGGTGTATAACCAAAGGAGACCAAATTCTTGCTATAACACACGCCTTTGGGGTGCAGACTTGTGTAATCACATTCCCTGCTGCAGATGCCAACGGAGCCAATAAGGACGCTCTCCATACCTCTCTCTCTGTAACAAAAAGCATCCCATCTCTCGGTCAGGTTTTTTCGGGTACCATAGTCCACAATCCCAACGTGGTTGGAGCCGCAGCTAGGGGTCGGGTACACCGTCGGTGTAGGGTAGCCGGCAGTGCCATTACTGAGCCAGCCAACCACGCAGAGATGGAAACCCATCTGCAGGAGAAAAAGAAGCTGACTGGTGAGACATAGGATTGTAGGAGCCCTGTGCTTTTTATTGGACAAGAGAAGTTGGCCCAGTAAAAGATATTGCCTCAGCCACCGTGTCTCTCTAACGTCCTAGGTCTGACGCACCTACAACGCTACGCGTGGTTCATTCACCTGGCATCTGTCCGCCACACAATGCCCCACCGCACTGCTCTCCGGCACGGAGGCTCAGCGCGGTGCCATCACAGACCAGGAAGCGCAAGGCACCTGGCGCTATGTAAAGAGCTAAGGGCCATGACCAGGGCCTGGGCCGTGCACACTTGGTTGCGGTCACGGGCACAATCTGACCCTGTATAAAGGAGCCCTGAGACCCACCCAAAGGAGAGGTGCCTCAAAGCCAGTCGGCAGCGGGTCCCTGAGCCCATCACCCCGGTGGCACTTTTGGGCCCATGAGGTGCAAGAGCAGGCTGAGCTGTGACTCTGCTTTACCTGCTGAGCGGCGGAGAGCTGCTGGACAGTGGCCAGAGAAGCTTCTTCAGCCAGACAGGCAGCCTCCGCCTCCGCATAGGTGAAGTTGTACTTCCCTCCGGGCGACTGGAGATGGAACACGCCAGCAGTTTTATCTGGGGGAGAGGATGGGGGGGATTTCACACTTAGAGGGTGTGTTTTATCTGGAAAAGAGCGTGGGTGTGATTTCACACCTACAGGTCAAGGGTCTGATTCCGGAGCTGCTGGACCCCAGCTTGGCCATGCCAAGCAGCCAGCGTAGACCCATGAATCCGGCCTTGCAGATCTAATCTACTTCCCACCCTGCACGCAGACCAGCTCGGCTGGTTACTACCCACATGCAGCCGCTCTGGGTGGGGAGGGAAGCCATTGGGCGCCCGTGCTCCTAACTCCCTGCTGGTTACTGCCTCGACCGAGACTCAGAGGGAGCAGCGCCCCTCCTGCCCCCACGCCCTGCTGCCGGAGGGCTCTCCCGAGAGCTGCGAGACGCTGTTCCCCATTAACAAGCGGATGTGGCTGAAGAGAGCCGACAGGGGCGGGAGGGGGCAGTCGG